TGTCCCGACTGTCGCCACGAGCCACTCTCATCCGCTGAACTAAAGTCGGCCGGTCGCATCCTGGTCAATTTACTCAATCGACTTTTGGTGAAATGTGAGAGATGTGGTCAAATCAATATCGAACGAGGCTTGTTCGGTGAACACATCAAGAAATCATGTTCGAAAGTAGACGTAACATGTTCAGCTGCGGATCTCAAGTGTGAATGGAGGGGACCACGTGATCAACTTTCAAGTCATCTTGCGGGTTGCAAGTTCGAGCCAATGAGACCACTTCTGGGCCATCTCATTCTTATTACGGAGCGACTCGATCAAATTGAACACGAAAACCAAGAACTCAAGTTGCAAGTGAATGATCTCGAGCAACAATGCAAGCAACATGGAACCGATAATCAACAATTGAAAGAGAAAACGGAACAGCTCGAGCAGCAGTGCATGCAACTTACAGTGAAGTTGAATGAAGCCCGCCCAACAATGATACGTGAGTATATATTTGAAAGAAAATTGTGAAGAGGTACGACTTGTATAGTGCTCTATCTTCGTCTACACTGAGTATACCCTAATCTGACTTTATATCCTACAAAACTTCAAAATTTCCGATGTTAGGAAATTCTTTTGTGTTCACAACTATAAAGCGTTCAATGTCATTTGATCTTATTCATAAAACAATATTTCATCAAATTTTCGGCAAAAAATCTCGTGATTTTGTGTCTAGAATATATCACCGTTTGTCCATATTTTGTACCTTGTATTTGGTTTGTCCTACACTTGTTTCAGCACTTGAGAGCTGCGGTTTGTTTTCAAAGAGAAGATTTGTTTACAGAGACTTGACAGACAACTTTTTTCAATTTGTCTACTCAACGAAGACAACAAGCAAAGAAGACGAGTGCTAACAGATCTCCCAACATTTCTTGATTGTTAAATTCGAAATCTAGATTTTGTCTTCGTGCCTTCGACCAAAATTCTGAAAAATGATCTGTTTTGTGAAAGACGATCTGAAAGGAGTGTTGAAGTATATATGGGTAAAAATTCATAGCCCCCCTCCTTCCCGCCAGATGTGACAGACATCTTAGCATCCATCCCAGACTGTGACAGAAGCCTTATCAATACCTCTCCATCATTACAGTTGATGGCAGACATAATTGCAAGATCAAAGTTCACTGCAGGATTAGTATGATAGTTATCCTTTCTGTTTTGCGCAACTCACATATGTTTTCGAAGAAAATAGTGAGTGCAAGTTTTAAGTCGAAGTTTTTCAGCCCCCATCACCACCCATCCCATCACAGAGCTGAACAATCGGGATTAAATAATGGATATTTAATATAGACTTATTTGCCATTTAATTCAATGATTATAATAATCAAAAATAATGGAAAAAAAATAATTGCGAAAATGAAAAATAACGAGTTAATAGCAACAATAAAAACGAAAAATAGGGTGTCCGTAAAAAAAAGAAAACGATATTTATGCTCCAAATGTACAAATAAAAAAGACAAGGTTTGCTGACAGTCGATAATAATGAGAAAACAACTATCGTCTGTTAGAGATTTTATACTGTATATTTCGTATTAGTATAATGAGCCTAAAGAGGACATGTGAGTTCTACATTTCAGTTCCAAAAAGGGCTGCTCTAGCAAGCTTTTTCTTCCAGCGACTCTTCATTTTGGCACATGTATCGATAGACCATTCAACCTCTGTTCATGAATGACTAAGGTGACTACTGTGCAATTTCCACCAGTTTGAGAATCACTAGTGAACAAATGACAAGGGTTACAGGAATTTCGGTCCACAGAATTTTTGGGCCCAGACTTCCAGCCGGGTCCGGAAATTCACCAGACTTTCAGTTCGGTCCAGAAACTCACTGAAATCTCTATCGGATCAGAAAATTCACCGAAAATTCCATGGGTCGAAATTCCGGTGAATTTTCTGATCGGATAGAAATTTCAGTGAGTTTCCGGACCGAACTGAAAGTCTGGTGAATTTTCGGACCGGGCTGGAGGTCTGGGCCCAAAAATTCTGTGGATTGAAATTCCTGTAACCCATACTTTGTGCATTATTCTATGTTTGGAAAGTCATAATGCTGAATGGTTCTAATAGAGAAGGAAAAAAATCAGATCATGAACGACAATCTTCAGGTATTTTTAGACACTTTTGACTCGATTCAAGGTTCTCTTAGTCTTAGCGACAACAAATGCGTCGTCACAAAAACCGGGGACAACGGGCATGCAACATGTCGATGTACAAGTCTTTTCAATTTTGGTACTCACTTACTTCGATTCGCGCTTGAACAGCACGGTGCTTCTCTGTTTTTCTTTTTTGGCGTCCTATCCTCAGTGGCACCCCAGAAAGCGCCGTATCAAACCGTCAAATCAGTGTACGGGTGGCAAGTGTGGACACAGAATGGAGTGGTGTTAAATGGCTCGAGTCAAACGGGTGTCGGTGGTTATACTTGCGATTATAAAAAGGGCGACATTATCAGCTGTGTGGTTGATTGTGACAAACGCACGGTTCGACATACGAACGAGCGAACGAAAAAACATTTGAACTCGATGTAGATGTGGGTAAATGTGCATTACCCTGGCAGTTATGTTTAGAGTTGTACTACCCTGATGATTGTGTTCGTCTTCTGTAATCACTAACCGGATAGTGTGAAAATGTACCTGACATCACTTTGATTACTATCTCTAAGTAACATTTTCTGGAGCTTGTCGCAGATGACTGAGACGTCATGTTTCATTTGGGCAAGTACTTGCTCAGTTGCATTCAGAACACTCTCTGTCATCGAGCCGCACTCGATGACCTCTGCAAAGAACAGACTCGGACTTGTTAAGGGAGGCATGCAATTCAGGTAAGGCTCAACTTAAAGCTTCTGCTTTTTAGTGGTTTTCAAAATGAGCGGCTCGAATGAATTGCAACAGTCGAACAACAAAGAGGTAACCTCGTTCGAGCAGGTTGGACGAAACTTTTCTTTTGCCAGTCAACTGCCAACTCATTGTTCGAATCGACCTCCCGACGTGTTTTTATAGCTTCACATACATACTTTTCAGTTCTGCACTGCTTTTTAAGATGATGAGAGAAGCGAGAAGTCCGCTATCATTCCTCTTTAATCTTCTCCATAATCAAGAACAAAAGTCATAAATGGTTTCCTTTTGTTAAATGCAAAAACGATGAAGTATAAGATTGTTTCAGAAGTTTTGGGACACACGGTATATCTATTGACTCCACTAGGCATGTCTGATTATCGACGGAACTGAAGTCATTATACTCTCTTTTTGGAAAGTGAAATGCATTGTTCTGCACGAGTTATAAAAGTATGTGCCACTGTTGACATGAGAATTTCAGTTGAGATTGGAATACGCGAAATAATTAAAAAAAAAAGAACAAAAAAAAAGGTTTTTGATTTATAAAGCTTTGATAACGGATGAAAAAGCATTCATTTAAATAATCATTTGTGAATATGCCATATTAAAAAAAATTTAGTAAAATATATGAATATATATTTTTTTTCGTTTTACCAATAAAATACAGATCAAAGAATTTCTACCTGATAAATTTCGTTTTTGGAACACTGTTATTTTGCTTGTGTCAGTCATACAATAATTAATCTTCGTAGTCTTACTCACGTTATCGTATGATAAGTACATTGCATAATTGGTTGTTTTCCGAGGATGTAGGTTTGTGGGTGTGGATCGGTCTCAGCCAGGGTGGGTATGTGATTAATGCCGACTCTCACACCCACCCACACCCACACCCACACCCACACCCACACCCACACCCACACCCACACCCACACCCACACCCTCAATATGTTCTCTTTTTAAGTCTTCTATTAGTATGTGCACATACAACACATTGTTTCTGAGGACTTTTTCTTTCCGTTGTTTGAGGTATAAGAGAAGAAAAATGTCGAGCAATAAGTCTACTTGGTTTACAGTTCTGTGCAGATCGCCATCAATCAATCATGGTACCTTGCAAAAGATATCCTAGCACTTACAAGATATTACTGGTGAGCGTCATCAAGTTATCACTATATACTATAGATGGCACAAGTGAGTAATCCCTGTACTAACCATTCAAAGTTTGGATGCGCATATATACAGGCATCGCTCCCAACAGGTTAATAATAATAGTAATAAAGAACAAAAAAGAGTTCTCATTTATTTAATTATAATTTATTTTATTTTTGTTTTCATTTTTTATATATTGATCTGGTATTTTTACTTTGTATTTAAAATAAGATGATGACGAAATAACTTAATTATAGTATAACTATACCTAGTCTATTAATGAGCTAATATGCATATCAGAAAATCACTCATAATACAAGATACCACTAAATATATTTTCGCTAAAACGTAATAGAAAACTCAAAGCCTTTTAATATGATAGAGGCATATAATATTTGTCAATAAATATCAAATGAATCTTCAAAAATATACGTAATTCTGTGTCATATAATCTATGTGCTTTATCATATGATAACATGCGATGAATTGCAAGAGCATACTTACATAAATATGATTCATTTTATATCATTGACGTCATATCATACTAAGCAATCACTAATACAATGATAGTAAACATATGCAATTACAAAGTCGTATTTTTTATACGTAGATGTCTATTATTTTAATATTTTTCAAGATTTAAATCGGTTGAAGTCGAAAAGAGAGTTGTTTGTGTTTTTAATTGAAGAATAAGATTCTTGAAAATAATTCAGTGTAGATGTAAATACCTATAGAGAAAAATGCCACTCATATACAGTCTTCCATACTATGACATTATTCTTTCCAAGTGTATTAAGAAACATTTTTCTCTTCGAAAAATCCGTATTACATAATTTTTACGGATCTTTCTCAATTGTCATGCAATTGGATATTGCGAAATTTGTTTTACTCTGCTATGAAAACCCATATAATATCTATTGTAAGAGAAATGTATGTCGTGTTTATGAAAGAACGAAAACAAACGACTTATTATTATTACTTACTCAACATTAGTATATGATGGACTACTCCAAACATAAATATCACCATGATCATCGTAAAGATCGAAAACGTTTTTGTCATCAATCGCCGTTAACACTATCTTCGTGTATGTCTACCAGAAATTTTACAAGAACTGATGAAGAAATATTAACAAACAAAAATAGAATAATGGAAAAAAATGAAGAGGAACATCAAATTATCGAAGCAAAGAAAAACCAACAATACGAATCGCAAGAATTCGATGAAATTTTACATAAAAAATTTCAAAGAAATTCAGTGAATTCAAATGTAAGAGAACAAAATACGAAAGATATATTCATTTCGAAAGGTGAATGTATGGATTACAGAGATACAAACAATTTATATGACGATAGGGAATCAATGGACAAATTTATTTGGAAAAAAAAATTAGAAAAAAATAGTTCATTTAATATTTCACCTGAGCATCTCGAAACAATTATGGCACAATGTATTAAACAAAATAAAATTGAAATCGAAAAAATAAAAAAACAACGATTAGAACGTGAAATGCAGAAGAAAATTAGAGAAAAAGAAAAAGAATTTTTACAACGTCTTAAAGACGCCGAATATTTTCGTAAATGGAAAGAACAAGAAGAATTATTTCTTTTTAATCAAATTCATCTTCGTTCAAAGTTGCGTATAGCTAATGGTCAAGCCAAACCAATTGATCTTTTCATTCATTACATTACTAATGATGATTTGTCTGTTGGTATATGTGAACCATCAACTTATTTAAATGGTCTTACTATTCATGATCTTGAAGATTTATTAGCTGATATTCGAGTTTATACCGAAAAAGAACAACAACAAGAAGTTCGAATAAAATTGCATAAATATGATGTAGAATATTGGCAAGATATAACAACAATAACTAGTGATGAATTAAGTAAGTTAAGAAAATTATCAGTAGAATTAAATAATGATCAAAATATTCATATTAGACAAGAAAATATTAATTCAGTTATTTTTCAAGATGCTACTGAAATATTTAAAAATAAAACGATTCAACAATTAGAACAATTTGGACAATGTATTAGATTAAAAATTGAAAATGAAAAAGAGATTGATATTGATTATTGGGAGTCAGTATTATCTCAATTAGAAGTTCATATGGCTCGAACACGACTTCACGATCGACATCAAATAAAATTAGCAAGAAAATTTCAAAAAATAAAAGAAGAACAAAGCATTTCAATAACATCAAAAATGAACGATAATGATTTTCAATTTAATGAAGATCTAGAAAATAAATGTTTGAATGAATATGAACAAGGTTATTTTTCTCCAAAATTAGTTAATATACATGATTTTGATAATGACATATCCAAATATTGTATTCTTGAAGTAGACAATTTGAAAAAATTAAAAGAACAACATCAATCTATTATTAAATCAGATTCTATTAAGTCGAATGATTACGATGTTTTTGATGAATTGATTAGAAAAATTGGTAGCTTAACTGATGATGATTTAATTATTAACGAAGTTGTATCTACGGATATTCAGCCATTATGGTCTAATAAATATAAACCATGTAAACCTCGATTTTTTAATAAAGTTCTTACTGGTTATGTTTGGAATTCGTATAATAGAAAGCATTATGATAAAGATAATCCACCACCAAAAATTATTCAAGGATATAAATTCAATATTTTTTATCCTGATTTAATTGATAAAAATCAATTACCATCATGTAGCCTTACAGTTTGTGAAAATAATCGAAA